CGAGACAGACCTTTCCACTTCTGAATCGATTTCCGAGTGGCAAAAGCAGCTGCCTGTCCTGGGATCCTTACCAATTTATTCTTTATGGACGCCTGATACCAGCGGCACTCCCATCGTTGAAAATGAAGCTATATGGGCATGGATTCTCTCAACAAGGGATCTCAGACCATCCTTGTATGCATGCATGAATCTATCATCTATGCACGCACGCATTGGCATACACACATACATGCACATGTGTGTTTGTACGATAAAATTTGCTAAGATGGTGAAATGATCCTATCAAGAGAGAGAAATGACACAAAACTAGATATTAGCAGCAAGCCTTACTATCTTTAATGGTTAGAGAGTAGGAAAGGTAACATGAAGTTTTCTAGTTTGAATTGATATTTCATGGTAAGAAAGTAGATGCATGAACAAAAACTTGTACAAGTACGAATCAACCATCAATGGCATACGAAACAATGGCAACCTCCAGTCGATGCATTGCAGATTCCGGTGTTGAAACTAGAAACAGAAGCAGGTTTGTATATGCAAAACTTTCACACTAGCCGCTAGGCCAATTGTTAGAATGAAGCTGACGACGTTCTACGAAGCTGATATTTTGGTTCTGGCGGTGGTGCATACGGCAGCATCTCATCAAGCTCCTAAGAACATAAAAATTGAAACCAAGAAAGAAGTCATATTTTATGCAGAAACACTAATGAATAAAAATATAAGTGATTTGGAGTCCATGAAGGTAGACGTCAGGAAATGTTAACAACTGCTACAAAAGAAGAAACATTTAATGGCAGATTTGACTGAGAATGGTAGAGGATACGAATCATACAATTGATGGTTCCGAAATGTTTCATTTATTGACTATGAGCAGTACCTTTTAACATTGTCAGAAAACAGATAGGATTTAGTAAAAGGTAGGATTAAGGTCGGAATCGGATGGTCACAAGTTCACAACTTTAGACCAGTCAAAATGACCAGAACAAATGTTGGATACTTGGATTCTCATAAGACACTAGACTAGCCAAGTTGAATGCATCAAACTTAATATATTGTGATCTACTCGTACAAGTAATATCTGCATACCAACTATGCATACAGGTTATCAAAGTAAAGGCATACGTATATCGGAAAATGACAACACGAAAATACTAATTCTGACAAAGAACTGGTTGAAAAACAATGAAGCTATTATACTTAAAAGGGAATGTTTTGAGCCGCTGAATTGTCAGGAAAGTGGCTTATAAGACAGATCTAACCTTCTGTTTCCTTAGCCTTTCGTTTTCCTCTTCTAGGCGTGAAACTTTGTTCTCCGGTTCATTAGTATAAGCCTGTTTAAAAACATCTTTCAGTTCCACTATGTAATTCAGAAAACGAGATCATAAAACATTTCAAAAAAAAAAAAAGGAAAGAAGATACATAAAAAGGAATGGTGTGATTGTCAATCACATTTGAGAGAGAGAAAAAAATGAAAGCCGACCTGCTTCCTTGCTCGAGAACGTGCTGCAGATTCCCTGTTCTTTATCATCCTCTTCTGTCTCCTTTCAACAGTTTTTTCAACTATGTCCTCAGGGGTACCTCTTTTCCTTCCAGATGGCTGAGTATCCGATAATGTTCCCAACAAAGGAGAAGGCAATGCCAACTGGTCCTCCGGGTAAGAGACATCCATTACACCAGTAGTCCCTATGGCTAAAGGCTGTGGCATAGGCTGGACAGGCATATAAACCCCCATCATACTTTGTTGTGGATGATGATACTGCGGTTGTTGTGGGTACTGCATCCACTGACCTTGCTGCACAAACTGAGCTGCAACACTTGAATCGACCCCACCAATAGGAGCACCGACATTTTCATCAGTAGATGCATCTGTAACAACTCCGGCATTCACAAGAAAATCCTCCAGCATCATTTCTCCAAGGGTAGGCTGCCTTTCTCTAGATTTATTTTCCCCATCGATTTTCCTGTGTTGAATATCTTTCCAAACCTCATCGCCGTCTTCTTGCTCAAATCATTAGTTAACGACAAATTCCCCTGACGCTGCAAAGGGGTTTGATTGGTCAATGCTGTTCCTTCAGTTTCTGTACCAAAAGTCTGGTTAGCCTCCAAGGTCCATACACTCTTGAGAAGTTCATCTAGGTTCATACTGTTCAGAGGTTTTCCCAAGTCAGACAATTGGTTTTGGACCTCATCCAAGGTGAGACTGTACATCGAATTTTCCCGTGTTAACTGCTGACATTGCAACTGTTTGCCATTATTGCCACTATCACCTTGAGACCCCATTGTCTGAATTCCCATGTAATCGCTTCTACTTAAGCCACTTTTGTTTTTCCAAATTAGGAAACATAAACTCTATGAAAGCTATATCAGTCTTAAAGTCCACCTGAAACCCACCCCAACGACCGCACACCTGAAGTTTACCAGTCGGCTCCAAAAATTAGAACCTGAAATTAAACCGACCGTTCATATCAACTATCTTCAGTCCAAATGATCCGAAAACATCTTTTCTCATATACGCAACAAGATACATGGAACAAAAGCAAATAACTCTCTACATATCTTAAGAGTAATTAACTTATCAGATACATTTTATTTCAAGAGTAAATGCATATATGCACAGGGAAGACCCCAAACTCCTCTCATCCCGAACCGGGCGTAGATAAACCAACCCGAGCCGCCAAAAACCTAATACCAAATCCCCTCTCAAAAGACCATCACAAAGTACCCATTTCATATATCTCCATCATTGACTTGTTCATGCATAAAACCAATGTCCAATGTGAAACAAAATAACACAAAAACCAAGCCTTTAAGGAGGAAAATCCACACTTTCTTTACAACCAAGAGATACCCATTTCATTTTACAAACTTTTACTTAGTTAAGATAGAAAGAAAAGTAGAAGAAGAAGAAGAAGAAGAAATTAAATAAAAGAATCAACATAAAAAGATAAAGGGAAAAGAGAAGACAACTAGATCTAGGGCTCTTCACTCTTGAATATAAAGAAAAAGAAAAGGAGAAGGCGAAGAGGAGGAAAAGGAGGAGGGCAGTGAGCTCTCTCTGAGAGAGATTGAAGCTTTTGTTGTGAAAACTTTTTGAGTTTCCAATAAGGTTTTTTCTTTTTTACTTGTTTGGGAGTGCTTTGAACATGTTTGACCCTGAAACACTGTTTTGTTTTGAGCTTATTTAAGCATTTTCTTCGCTTTCCAGACAAATCCATCTAAAAAATAAAAATCAGATCTCGACAAACACAAATCTGTCCTTAAATTTGATTTTGTTAACAAAGTGAAATCTAAGCATTAGTTAAAAAAATAATTGAACTCAAAATGACAAATTATATACTATTGGCATTCCTTCTCATTTATTAAGTTTATATTATGGATTTTCAAAAATAAAACTAAAGATAAGTAAAATATCAATTTTTATTTCGTTTTTGATATTTAAACTGTTTAGTTTAAATAATAATAATGATTGAACTCAAAATGACAAATTATATAATACCAACATTCCTTCTCGTTTATTTATGTTTATAATATGGATTTTCAAAACTAAAACTAAAAATACGTAAAATATTAATTTTTATTGATATTTAGATTTTATTATTTTAAATTATATCTAATATATAGTTTATATTTTAATTTAGTACCTTAAAAGTTAATAGAATTGTTAATGTAACATTTTATTTTTTCAATAATGACATGTTAATATCACTTTTTCGTTTTTAACAAAGAATATCTAAATGAAACCTAAATTAAATGTTAAATATGGGAGATGGGCGACGTTGATGACCTTGGACCAACGGGAACGGCCAGAAGAAATGGAAGACGGGCAGCGGTGGTGTGAAGAAAAAAGAGAGAGAGGGGGGCGCCGCACGGAGGAGGCTGGGTTTTGTGTTTAAAATAAATGGGTTAACTACAGTTTCAGTCCCTAAAATCTCTAGGATTTCCGAAATTAAAATTTTTTAGAGTTTAGTGACCAAAATAAAAGAGAAGAAAATAGTTGAGTGATGGATGGTTTGATTTACCCAATTTATAACATAAGGAGTTAATTCAATGAAGGAAAAAGTTGGTTAAAGAGTTACATTAAGTTCTTTTTTCGAGTTGAAAGATCACATTGATTCAAAAAATAAGATGAGGGCTACATGGTTTTCTTTAAAAAGTTCAAGGACCTCGAGTACATTTTTACCTTTATAATAATATGATCATAATTTTAGTTGTAAAAATTAGTATATGCCATATCAATTTGTTCATGATTCAAAATAACTCATATTTATCACATTTTAAATATTTGAGTCATGTCTCAAATTTCCTATTTTTTTATCCCCCGTCTCTGTTCATCATCTTCAACTAAAAATATTTGTTTTTTTTAATCTATTCTGTTCGCCACCTCAATCCACCATCTTTTTCAAAACAAAAACAATCTCTCTCTGTCATTTCTCAAGGACATTATATCAGTAAAATCCAAATAAAAGAGATCAAAACAAAAGACGACAAAAGCTAAAGATAAATCATGACTTCATCTTTGTCCTGCTTCTCCCTTCAAATCTCCTCTCACCTCATCAGTCCCTTTTTTTTTTCTCACTTTAGAGATATGTGCATGTTTGTAGTACTGTTGCTGCCCCCCCCCCCCTCCCCTTCCCCCTTCTCTCGTAGACGACATAATGATAAACTCAGTAGATTACACGTACTAAAATTCCCAGAGTAATGATAATCATGCTAAAAAGTATCTCGACAATGAATCATGTGTTTAAACCAAGCTGTTTTTGTTTTGTACCGCTTCATGTGTAAAAATGAACAGAAGAGAAATGGTGATTGAACACATAGAAGAGCTTAGGCGGTCTTATTGTTCCCAATGGACAATGTATTAGCATTTGGTTTGCAGTAATTTTAAAACTGATTGAATAGAATCGAATTATTCAAATTTGATCGGTTCGGTTCAGTAAGTTAAAATCAGGTTAAACCAATTAATGCTCACATCAAGAGAATGCAAAGAAAAAGAAAATGGGGCTCGAAACTACATTTAGGCACAAGCCTTGAAGGTTGAATTGATTTCATAGTGAAAACGCAAATACATGAATAAAAGAACTCTTACAAGTGAAGCAACCATTACCAGCATATGAAACAACGGCTGCATCCAGAAGATGCATCGACTTATGCTTCAATTGAAACCAGAAATCGAAGCTGTGAGCTTGGTCGTTTATGCAAAACTTTCACACGCTTCCACGGAGTGTTAGAACGAGGCTGATGATGTTCTACGAAGCTGATATTTTGGCTCGGGAGGTGGTGCGGACTGCAGCATCTTCTCCAGCACCTGAAAACAAAACATCCAAAACCAAGAATGAAAATCATATGCAGAAGCACCAACAAATAAAAAAGAAGGTAAGACTTCCAAATTGATGGACTACTTGTTTTCTCATTTAATGTCTGAAACTGTAAATGAAAACTATATGCAGAAACAAACGTTAACTGAACGAGCAGCATCAGAAAACATATGATTCTCGAACTGTAGCATGAGCTCAATCACAATTTGGGGGGTCGGCTTATATTATCTTTTAATTCTAACCGTTTCAGTTGCTTCGCACAATTCAAGATGCAAGTTAAATGTGAATGGCATAGGTAGCGGTTGGAGGGTTTGGATAGGATAGTGACGACTTAGAACTGAAGGTTGACAGTACTTTGTCGCTTCACGTACCCTCTCAAGTCCCAAACTTTGTCCAAACAAGAGCATCAATCTTCCTCCCATCATTCAAACAAACATTAAACACTATGTTACCTGGACTAAGATGTGCCCGATCCAAGTATGTGTTTGAGATGGGTATATTCAACTTTTTTTGTCAAAAAAAAAAAAATCATGTATTTGATGGCTCCATTGAGAAACATGTATTCTGACAAAAGTACTTAAATGAAAAGCCAGGCCGATATAGATTAAACATTTTAAGGTCTTAGCCTCACAAGAACTTGAGAATTGAGAAAAAAAGGAAATTAAGGGGAAAAACTAATAACTTTAACATTACAGTTGGCAAGAATGATAGAAAGGAAAAAGTAAAAGGTTCTAATCTAAGGACGAATCCCAAACATTACAGTAAAATATTTTCCATACACTTTCCTTTCTGTCATCCCTACCAAAGAAAGAAAAAGAATTGAATCCTATAGACTCATAATTTTTAAAATTCCTATTATTCTGACATTAAGAGGATACCTAACATTTAGAAAAATGAAAAAGCAACACACTATTAAAGCATCCAACCCAAAAAACCAATTGGCAATAGGTGGAGGGCCGACTTTAATATAATACCACAAGAACTCGATACTTAATAGATGTGGGATAAAACCACTTAACAAAATAACAATCCCCCTCACATAGAGCTCACAAGGATTACACATGGACATCCTCACCAGGTGTCGTCAACCTGGAATGGAGTTCAGGATCAACATAACAGAAGTACAGAACTAAGGCATTGATAGCATGTTAAAACATCCAAATTAAAATCAATTGGCAATAGGAGGAAAACCTGACTTTAGTATAAGACCATAGAAAACCCACTACTTAAACGGATGTGGGCTAACACCACATAACAAACACCAACAACCTTATATACTAGTATGTCCTAAAGAAACATAAGAACACGGCACAATTGGATTTAACCTGCCTTTAATGAAGACACCCAACAGATGAGCTGCTAATAAGATTAGACTTCAGAATTTGAGACACAATATTATGGTCGAAAATGTCTTCTTCAGGTCATGGTTATATTGTACAATACGTGAAAGCTGTCCTGCAGACAGCAAGATTTACCAATCTTCTAGTAAAATTCATCTATGCACCTCTCTAGCTACAGTGCAAAAATCCAGTTCATCCTAAAGCAATTCATGACAAGGGAGCGGTTCAGCCCAAATTACAGCTTGCTTGGCTCTTATATTCATGTTGGCAGCTGATCTAATACTAATTCGATTTCGAGCTGAATGCTTTAACATGCAATCAGAACCAGAAGATTTTGATGTCCTGTTTCTGCTAGTATTTGCTACCTTATTTCTGTCATCCACGTGACAGGCCAACTTGTCTAAATTATTTGATTTTGGGACTTAAATGGGAGTGTTAGTCAGTGTTACGCACAGTAGTTAACTTTGGAGAATGTTCACATGTTATATTTCAAATTGATTCGAGGTTCCTTAACAATCTTAAACCAAGCATGGGAAAGTGAATATGTCTTGATAACAAGTGCACCGGGCCACTGACAGAAATTTTCATTTTCCATACACTGGCAATGGAATCCATATTACAAAAAGAATGATATTTGCTAAACAAATTTTCTATCAGAAGTTTTCAACATAATTATTGCACACAAAGGAAGATGAAGTTATCAAGATAGATAATGGGTAAGAACTTGGCTTTACTATAGCCGGCAGATTTATCATAGACAAAAAGTGTACATCCATAACTATGATGCTGAGAAGAGATCTTAGATAGCCCTAGCAACCAACAGGTTGAACGCATAAAATTTATGGTTGCCATGTTCAGTAATATACGATATGGGGATGGCAAGGAATACACGTTTGCATAAAGCAGGGTTTTATATTTGTTATTTAACTGGAATCTGAATCATAGTTCAGTGCAGGTCCAATAATAGTATTCTATTTAGGTTATGATAAAAAGGAACAAAAGGAAGCATCACGATCTACTCATACAAAGAACAGCTGTAAACCAACTAGAAGATCCCATAAATATCATACAACTGGTATCACATACAGAGGAAAAGGTGTGTTCAATATCAACCATTGGCCACATTTAATTTCCAAGTGTTATGGACAGATAGGTATTTAATGCAATAGAATGTTTTGATGATATACGACTCGATTTTGAATAGAATACAGACATGGTGTATACAAGTTATCAAGTTATTGAAATGAATAAATATACCCCGGCAACACATACAAAAATACATAATTTTGATTTTTGAGTAAGAAGTTTATCCTTTTCTTCAAAGAGCATGTTGGGAAAAATTAAAAAATATTTTCTATTTTAAAAGTAAAACATTTCAAGATCATCAATTGAATGTAAAGGAATCAGAAAAGTGTCTTGTACAACAGATCTAACCTTCTGTTTTCTCAGCCTCTCATTTTCCTCTTCTAGGCGTGAAACTTTGTTCTCCAGTTCATTAGTATAAGCCTGTTTGTAAATATCTTTCAGGTCACTCAATAATTCAGAAAACAAGTGTCACATTCTTATAGATGAAAACAAATAAAAGCTGACCTGCTTCCTTGCTCGTGAACGTGCTGCAGATTCCCTGTTCTTTATCATCCTCTTCTGTCTCCTTTCAACATTTTTTTCAACCATGTCCTCAGGAGCACCTCTTTTCCTTCCAGATGCCTGTGTATCTGATAATGTTCCCATCAAAGGCAAATGCAACGGCACCTGGTTCTCTGGGTAGGAGACATCCATTACAGCAGCAGCCCCTAAGGCTAAAGGCTGCGGCATAGACTGGTGTGGCACATAAACCCCCATCATACTTTGTTGAGGATGGTGATATTGAAGCTGTGGGTACTGCATCCACTGTCCTTGCGATGCAAACCGGGGAGCAAAACTCATATCTACCTCACCTACAGAATCACCAACATTACCATCTATTGATACTTCGGCAACAACTCCAGCTTTCACAAGAAAATCCTCCAATGTCATTTCTCCAAGGGTAGGCTGCCTTTCTCTGGATTTTCCCCCCCCATTATTTTTGCTTTGTTGAATATCTCTCCAAACTTCATCAACTGTCTTCTTGCTCAAAGCACCGGTTACTGACAAACTAGCTTGACGCTGCAGAGAAGTTTGATTGGTCAATGGTGTGCCTTCGGTTTCCATCCCGAAAGTCTGGTTAGCCTCCAAAATCCATACATTCTTGAGAAGCTCGTCTAGGTTCATGCTACTCAGAGGCTTTCCCAAGTCACCCAACTGATTTTGCACCTCATCCAACGTGAGACTATACATTGAATTTTGCTGAGCCAACTGCAGAAACTGCAGCTGTTTGCCATTACCAACACTATCACCTTGAGACCCCATTGTCTGAATTCCCATGTAATTACTTAAAGCAACTTTTTCCTCCAAATTCTCAAACAAATATCCATAGGGAAATGACTATATCAGTCCTTAAGTCGACAAGGAAACCACCTGGCCACATATCTGGAGCTTCACAAGTCAGCACCAAAATTTAGAGCCTGAAATTAGACTAAGCTATTCGTTTCAATTCCCTTCAGTCGAAATTATCCGAAAACATCTTTCTTGTATATGTAACAATATATGCAACAAAAATAAATAGTTCTCTACTTCTCTTAAAATTGTATGAAATTACCAAATACATTTCTTTTCAAGAATAAATGCATACATGCATGCAGCACGCCACAAACTCCTCTATCATTCAAAGTTCTTCAAACCCAAACTCTGTATCGAACAAACTAACATAAAACCCAAACTCTGTATCGAACAAACTAACATACCCGAAAGCCTACTATAACAAATCCCACCTCAAAAGATCAAACGAAAGCACATTTTTCCCTGCAACACAGATGTATATAACACAAAGAAGTCTAAAATTACGGAAGGATCCGCACTTAAACAGTCAATAAAAGAAAAACATAAGGCATAAGGGAAAAAAATGGAGAGAAGAAAATAGTGAAGAAGCAAATCAGAGCTCAGATAAACTAAAGCTGGTGAAAAAGAGAAAACAAATAAATTTAATGTGAAAACTACCAAATATTTTTTGACAAATAATTAAAGGCTAAAACGTTATAATCTGTTGGCCAAATAAATAACAAAAATTTTAAGAATCATAAGCATTATTAAATCCTCAGATTATTACAAAATTAAAAAGAAAATGAAGAGCTTATTGCATGACACCAAAAAGAACAATGCTTTAAAATGAGAGTTAAAACGAAAATCATTGAAACAAATCTGAATGAAGGACAGAAAAACCCAGAAGAGGATCTCAAAGCTGAATTTTTTTTCTTTATTAAAAGAAAACCCAGACGATCAACTATCAACAGAAAAACGAAATTAAATGAAATAAAATAAAACCCTTAGAAGATCAAAGCCAACAAAAAGAAAGGAAGACTTTCAAAATTAAGTAATTAAAAAAAAAAAGAGAAAACCTTACTGGGTTTCGAGGAAGTGGAGATCAAAAGCCTACGAATTTGCAGGAAAACGAAACTTGATGAACTTTGATCGAGAAAAATAGAAGAAAACCGACGCATTTATCAACTCTCCATAGCCTGCACGCCAGCAAGAAGCTTGACAAAAAAAATTAAAAATATGTTTATTAGTTTATTCAGTATGTGAATAATGTCTTTTGTTTGTTCTAATATTATTACTAAATAATTAAGATTTAAAATAAAAAGGAGGGTATATTTCATATTTAGTCATCCAACTATAACTTTTGTTCTGTTTCGGTCACTAAATTATTTTTTAAAATCGTAGCTATTCCTTTTTTATTTTGTTTTAGTCATTCTTCATTAAAAAAAAATAAACAACTTGAGATTTTTTCCAATGATGACGTGACATTATCTTATGGTGATGCGTCAGTATCAATGTTAATTTTTAAAAACAAGTGATTAAAATAGAATACAAATGTAATTTTAGGTATGATTTTAAGAAAAAATAATAGTTTGATGACCAAAACAAAACCAAAGGGATAGTTGGGTGATTAAATTTGTAGTTTACCCTAAAAAGAGTAAAGATCAAGTTATATAGAATAAATTTTTTATTTAATATAAAATTGAAATTAAAATCAATAAAAATAAAATATTTTAATAATATGAGTGAATCATATTCCAAACAAATTCTAAAAGAATCAAGGTGGTTTACTTTTGTTTAAGTTGTTTTCTATAAATAAATGTTAATTTATTATTAGAGTCTATGACTATTTTGACTGTTATTGTTTATGTATTATAGTAAATATGTTTTTTTAGTGAAATGTATGATTCATTGAAACGTGATCATACAACGGAGGATTTTGATATAGGTTTCGTTAAAAATCTCTCTAATATAATTGGAAGAAAATAGTATACATATTAATATAGTTCAAACAAATAACTAGCTTAATCAGAAACAAGATCATCTTCACTCAAGAAATAACTAGCAAATCAGCCACCTTAGTGTTCTCCCTGTTTGTATGCATAACAATAACATTTCACGAATGATTACGAAGCTCATCCTAAGTACTATTTAAGAAAATGCACCCCCGCATAACCATCCCTCAAGACCCGAATAGCCTCTAAGCTATCCATCTCAAGAACAAATTGACGGAACCGGATTCTCAAGCATACGATAACGCAAATATCCCCCCATAATTCAGCATCTAAAACCGAGCATATACCAATAAACTTATTGAAACCAAACTTCCACATATCCAAGATCCCAATGCTCCAATTGAATACCAAGATGCTCAGACCCAACTAGATTGGCAGGGGCGGGGCTAGGACAACATAATGTGCGTGGCGTAACAGGGCACTGGAGTAGAAAGGGCCCCAAAAAATTAGATTTATTACTATTATCACAATAAAAAAATAAACAAAGTATTATGGATTAGTGGTAAAAATTTTGGACTTAAAACCACAGAACATGTGGTCGAATCTTATTGAAGTAATATGGGAAATACCAATAATTAACATTGTGCTACAGCTGTAAAGTTTATCTCATTTTTTTAGGTCTAACTCCACTTTACGAGAAAGAAATTCATCTTCTTCGATTCACTTTATCAAACTTCAATTATTCATCTTCCCTCGTTAATTCACATTCCTACCATAGTCATAAATTTCTTACATTCCTTTAATTAGTTAGTTCCGTTAATCTCAAATTTACAACAACCATACTATTTTTAAGAATTTGCACAGAGCCTCCAACGTCCTAGCCCCGACCTGTAGATTGGTATTTACCCATTCTTTGATATCCAAACTAAGAAACTGTTGATATCCAAACCTTGGCAGCCACCGGACGGCTCTTAAACACGTGCTTTAAATTATGATTATCATTTTAAATTAGTCGTTAAATTGTTGAATATTTTAATTTTATCTTTAAATTATAACTCCATTTTAAATTAATCCTCAAGCTTTAGATGATCTAATTTCATTCCCTAACTCTGACCCTTATTCTAAATTAATCCCAACATTTTTTAATATTTCAATTTCATTCTCAAGTTCATCCAAATATGTAGTGGTGAACTCAGAAAAAAATTATAGTCTGGGCTAATATAAACATAATTTTTTTATCTAAAATAATTTTTATTTATATTAATTTTAAAATATAATAACAATTATATATATGTATTAAATCTAGAAAAAATATATTAAATGGATCAATATAATTTTCTTAACGTAACTCATACATTTTTTTATTTAGGGTAAACTAACTATTTTGATCACCCGCCTATTACTTAATTTATGTTTTGGTCACATATCTATTATTTTTTTTCAAAATCATAGTTAACCTTACATTTTGGTTCTATTTTGATTACTCACCATTAAAAAATTAATAATGATGTTAACGTTATATTTTTTAATTATTTTTCAATCATGATATGACATTATTTTATGATGACATGTCAACATCACCTCTAAATTTTTAAAGAATACTGATCAAAACAAAACCAAAACATAATTTAAGTGTGATTTAAAATAAATAATAGTTATGTGACCAAAATAAAAACTAAATAATTAATGAGGGACTAAATAAGTAATTTACCCTTTTTGGCATAGGGTAGGCCATGGCCTAAGTAGGTCTAGGCTTGGATGCGCCCTGCAAATATGTAATCAATTTCAATCATAATTTAACCTAAAGTTTATTTTTTTTCAAACATATAATAATATAGCTTTGCCTAATAGTTTTATTAACAGGTGATGAGATTAGCATACGCCAATAGTTTGGGATGAAACTAAAACGTTCCAAAGTTTTGAGATCAATTTAGAATAGGGGTCATAGGTTGGAGATAAAATTAGAATATTAAAAACTTAAGGACTAATTTAAAATAATAGTCATAGTTTGAGATAAATTAAAATATTCAAAAGTTTATGATCAATTTAAAGTATTTTAACGTATAAATTTAAAAATATTAATTAACTTTTAAATTTTAAAATATTAATTTGTTAAAAAATTAACATATAAATTTTAAAAATATTAGTTAACTTTTTAAAATTTTGTTAAAAAATAATTTAATTTTCTCACGAAATGAGTGGTAGATTTTTAGTATTCTATTAATAGTATCGAATTTACTCGAAGTTGTCCTATTGGAAATCATGAGACCCACTATGCCAAATGGCGTGAGCTCAATGCAATATTATTTGTTTTATATACATTATGCTTGTTTGGTTCGGGGAATGTGATATTTTCATGGGAATAAAATCCACATTCTTCTATTTAGTTGGCCGGTAATTTCATTTTCGGTAATATAAGATTACCAATAATGAATTTTTGGGGTATATTACCGGGAATGTCATTACCTCCATTCCCTTAGGTATTGTTGGATTACCGGCGTTTTGGTCTAAAATGCTCTTAAAATTTTTTTCTTTTTAAAAATATCATTCCTCTGTCATTGAATAATAAAAATTCTACGAATGTTAAATTATAAATTTATCCTTAAACTATTTTAGATTTACAAAAAAAGTCTATAATTAAAATTTTAGATGAAGTTCAGGGGTTAAAATAAAATTTTACCCTTTCATTAAACCTTTTTATATTTTAATTTTGTAAAAAAATTATATAAATTTTATGAATTTAAATTTTTTAAAGAAAATATATAAATATCTTATAGTAATATTATAGTAGAATTCAACTTATTAAAAAATAAATATATATAATAAAGACAATTTAATCAAATATACATTCAATCTTTTATTCCTTTAACCAAACATGATAATCTTACATTCTTGCTAAACCAACCAAACACAAAATACAACATTCTCAGTAATTCTATTCCCTGGTAATCTTTTATTTCCACTGATAATCTCACATTCCGTGAACCAAACACACCCTAGGGGTAATATCATATCCCGTACCTATATTTTAATAAAATATTTGATGCAATATATATAACAAAGGTTGTGTTTGTTTAAAGGAAAACCAATTACGGAAAACACTTTCACAATTTTTCAATATTTAGTTGAAGAAAAATTACGGGTCAACGAAAAACTTTAATTATAGTTCAATAGAAAATATTTTTTTTAAATGACTTACATACTGAAATTTGATAAATAATTTACAATCCTCATTTCAGCTTCCTTTTGACATCCCAAAAGTATCTGACCAAAAATCATTATCGTCACTTCTTTCTTGTCGACGATACCTTTTGTTCATCTTCTCAGATAATCATAACATCTTAAAATCTCTAAATTTTCTATTTATTCTTCTTTATTTTACCCTAACTATGTTTTATCCTAAACATCTGGAATTTTTACTTTTTTTTCCTTCCGAATTCCCCTATTTTCTTAATTTTTACTCGAAATGATGATATGTATTGTTCGTTTTCTTGGTTTAATATGTAAATTTATTTTATTTATTTATAATCTTTGATGAGTAACTTATATAGACCTTCGATTGATGTTATATTGTTGGTGCTGCTAAGTTGGAGAAAGAAGAGGAATTTGATCTTTTATTGATTTTGAGGCTGAAATGAATGCAATGTTAACTTCAAGACTTTACTGGTCTTTATTTTTAGGTATCGATTCTCTGAAAGACTTTATTTGAAAATTTTATTATATTCATTTTCTCTATATTTAAGTTTATGGTTATTGAATATTTATTGAATTTAATTGATGATTTGCTTTGATTTACAATGCGATTAATTTCCTAGAATCATGAGGTATGATTGAGAATTAGAAGTAGCTAAAAATTCTGATTATAGATTTGAGCTTGCCATACAGCTCGGTAAATTAGGTATTGTTAAGGTAAGTTGTTTAATTGATTTAGAAACGAAAGTAAAACTGTCCCAATGTCCTGGAAAATCGAGGGTTAAATTTTAGGGGTTTGTTTCGACTAAAAATAAAAACGTGATTCGAGGACATCGTCATCAATCTGTGTTTAGGGTATGACTAGATCATCCAAAAGTGTTTTTTTTATTTTAATCAAATCATAAATTTTAAATTATTAAAACAATGTTTTGGTATGTTTTCCAAAAAATAGGTTTGGGAGTCGATTACGTGCGGAAAAGGATTAACACCCACAAAGCCGAATATCTGTACCTAGTTGATTAATAATTTACTTTGAAATGGAATTTATTTATTAATACTTAATTTAACTAATGGTCTCCTATTTAGTTAAATAAATACCATGATATTTAAAATACAATAGAAAAGATTAACGATTCAAACATTTAATTGAGGAAAGTTAACCACCTTATATGAAGATGAATGTCATCCCTTTTATTTCCAAATAAATTGATTAATTACTAATCGCTTCATCGAAGATCTTAATTGACAATCCAACGAAAGGGAATCATCACCTAATATAAGGTAGAGTGATAATTCCCTAGAAGGAAACAAGGAATACCTTATAGTATTTATTTACCTAAAATTGTGCAACAAGCAAAATTTTTATTAATATAATTATCGGACCTTTAAGATAGATAGAGAATGTTTGAATATTTAGAAATATCAAACCTAAACATTCGAATAAAGTCGAGAGGCCTATTTTTGAGAAGTCTAAATATGTGATCATCTCCCTTTCTACCCTCTTGATTGATTTTGAAAGTGTTATCATTTTTTACTCGTTTCACTGGAGGAGACTCGTTCACTTCAGATTATCGAATTAAACTATCCAGGTGGGTTAGGATAATCCGCTTCAATAATCTAAATTAAACGGGTCTTACCTTTTAATTCATTATGTAAAATGGTGGAGTAACGTGGATAAGGCCATTATGCTTAAAAAATTAACGATGTCATGCAATCAATAATACAATCCATAAAAATATTTACATACGAATCAAATTCATCATGATGTGATTAAGGGCCAAATTAATTACACATGCTTGTTTATTAATGTCACCAAAATATTAATAAATTGATCATGCTTGATTAAAATCATACAGGTAAACTAACACATTTAAAATATAAATTAATTAATTCTAAAACATACTCGTATCATGATTCATATTAATTTATAAAGAAAATTAACAATTAATCATGAAATCAGGGACCAAATTGCATTCAAAATAAAATCATGAGGGTCAAATTACAAGGATTTAATTAGACTCATGCAACCAGGACCAAAATAAAACGACGCAAAAACTAGAGAGTGTGGTGCGCGTATTTTCCCTTAAGATAAAAAATTGATTTTTTTATTTAATTGTCTTCTTTCTCTTAAAATTAGAAGAGAGAGATGCTCTAGTTCCTCTCTAGAATATCGGTCATTACTTACCGTCTGTCACCGATCCTCATCGTCGTTAGTCACCGTGTACCACTTCCCACTACCGTTCGTCCCCAAATTTCACGGAGTGCTTTGTCTCTGGGCTGGGAACAGAATTTGACCTTTGATTTGCAAGAAGATGCTCTGAATGAGGTAGATCTAGCCAAGAATGCTTTGGCTTCTTCTTCGTCAATCTTCTGTTTTAGCCGTCTGATTGACCTCCTCTCTCGATATGTGGTTCCCTCATCTCGATAAAGCTTTCGACCATTTGGATCAACGAATGGAGTCTCCTATCGCCGTGGAAGCTCGCCAAATTAAAAGGAAAGTGTTTTCCTTTCCTTTTTTTTTAAGTTTCTCTTTTTTTATTCTTTTGGTTTTCCTTGCTAAATGCCCCATTTCTTTGATTTTTGCAGCCATTTATACTCGAAAAGGACCCTTTTCATTATGGTATGAATCATCAAAATGAATCCAAAAAATCTTTAATAATCGGGATTGAAATCCCTTCTTGCCATTCTTGAGGATTTGGATCTAAAAAAAGTATTATTTCCATATTTGATTATTGGAAAATCATTCCTTTTTTTATTTGGGTGTTAAAATGGTTACTGTCAGCAATAAGAAGAATCGGAGCATCGACGTGTGAATTGTGTGTGGAAAAAAGCAATGAGTTTGTGGGGATTCCAACTATTCGTGCGTGTTTTACACACGCCTGACTCAATACCTTTGGTTACGACGGTTGGAATCAAGAAACCCTAAGGTTTCTTTCCTTTCATAATGTTATGAGCTGTTTGATATATTGGGCCTGTAAAACAAAATGAAAATGGATCAATTAAATCCATTTATTAATATAGTGTAATAATAATAATAATAATAACAATAATAGAAAATAATAATAGATAGTAAGTACTACTAATTATAATAGTTAATATAACAATAAAATAAGATAAAAAACAAATATTAGTAATAGTATTAAATAATACTAATATAATATGAATAGCAAGAAACAAGTCCCGAACGAAAATAGGTTTCTACAGCTGTACCTCTTTATCTATTGTTGTGTAACTACAATAGGAAAATGATAAAAAGACACAAGTTTTTGTCCGGTTCTTTGAAATAAAATGGATTCTGAAGACAAACTTGCTCTTTTGGTTTTGAAACGTTTGCTTTTCTTCAAGAATATGATTCAACTTTTGTTAGGTTTTTTGAACTCCATAAATGGGTCGAAATTGTAGGTGATCATTCTCTAAGCCGAATATCTTCTAACTTCGGAAATATGTGACTGGGGACCAATTTTTCGTTGCTACACTACAGTTGATTTAGTCTTCGAACTCGATCTCCTTTACTGTGGAGTTGAAATCTAACTTTGAGAATCGGTTCTGAACGTGCTTCTGGGTCAAGTATCTTTGTGAAGTTGAAATTTGAGTGTGATGGTTTCAGCTGGAAACTAGTTCCTCATTGCTAGACCGTAATTGGCCTTAAAAGTTTGACCGAAAAATAGTTCCTTGTTGCTATCTTACAATCAATATGTTCTCAAGTTGAGTGGAATCAAACTTGAAAGCTTTGGTTGACGGTTAGCTCTTCTTGCTTTGAGCTATGTCGAAATCTGGGTTGGGAAATAGTTCATTGTTGCTAAATCGTAGCCATTTTGGCCATTCTTCTAGATTTGAAGACCTGCATTTAGGTTTTGATTAGAAGGTAGTTCCTTGATGTTACCATGCGGTCAATGCGCTCTTGAGCTGAGTGGAATCGGACTCAAAAGCTTTGGTCTATAGATAACTCTTCTCGCCTTAAGCTATGTCGAAATCTGACTATGAAGTGGTTCTTTGGTTCCAACTCGTAGTCAACTTTGTTCTTATTCTTGGTTTAAAGACCTCGGTTTGAAATTTGACTAGAAGGTAGTTCCTCGCTACTACCATGTGGTTAAAGCGCTCTCGAACCGAGTGGAATCGAACTCAAAAGCTGATGATGATGTTGTAGCATCCCAAAGATGTGGAGTATCTGCTGACTCAGATATCAGTTATGGAATTCTCTATAATAGGACAACTGTCCTTGGCAGCTGTCAAAAGGGCTAGATCCTATCCGAAATGAGGCAAAAACCATTGGAGGATCATATTTCCTCTTCACCTATAAATAGAGTACTAGCTTACTCATGTGAGAGACATAATGAGTACATCACATTTTGAGAAAAAATCCATACCTATGCTGCCATTTTTTCACTCGATGGAAGCCTAAGCCTTCTGCAAGGGATTGTTGCAGCAAAAAGAGAGCTCGTCGAGTAGCATAAGTCGTCAGCAGATCATTGTTCGAGCATTTCATCGAAAGAATGAAGTGTTTTAATATACTTAAATTTGTATTGGATGATATTTTGAATTTATGGTTTTATGCTACTATGATTTTGTTTCTATGAGCTTGGATGATTAGATTATGAGTAGAAATATTTGTAATAAATGAATGGTTATTTTAAATGCTTTTAGAAATAGATTCGTTTAACCTGCCATCTACTTTTGATAGCCTAGTTGATACTGAGTAGCATTGTGCATACTGAAAAGTAGGCAACCTAGTATTAGCCTTGTTAAAATGTTTGATCTTTGATTTATGAAAGTGATTAAAGAAATTCAACATATTTTAATCATTGCTAATAGCATAGAAATCGTATTCATTGTTTGTTTGAAACTTGAATACCTTAATACTTCCAATTTCCATTCGATAGCTGACTTGACGCTCTATGTAATATTGTAACATGAACTGGATTTTTACATTTTGATTTTATTTTCTCACCGTAAAGCAATCAATCAACATTTCTCTTTTTTTAAACTTTATTGAAAACCATATGCTCTCTGTGGGATTGATACTCGTAACTGAACCTTTACCACTTTTATTACTTGATTTACAATACGTGCACTTGCATTATTGTTATAGCATTTTACACGACATCAAGTTTTTGGCGCCGTTTTCGGGAAGCATTTTTGATTTAGAGTTTTATTATATTTTTCTTTTATTTTTCTTTTCTTTTGTAGGTACTTGTTAGTTTTCAGTTGTCAGTTTATGTCCATAAGTGGCGATGAGCTAGAGCCGTTTAATCCAGAGATAGAACATACTTTTCGTCAACGTCGAAGAGAATCTGCACTGGATCGAGAAAACATGAATATTGGGAATACTAACAATGATTTACCTTCGATGCCACATGGGGAGAATGAAGATTTGCCATATAGGCAACCAAATCAATATGTTGATGATCGGAATCACCCGATTCGCGAGCATGTGGTACCAACTTTGGACGATTTGCATCTGAGTACTGCGAGGCCAGTGATCAATTCTGCAAACTTTAAACTAAAGCTTGTCATGTTTTAGATGCTGCAATATATGTGATAATATTGATGAAGTGTTGTTGAAGATCCTAGAGCCCATTTAAAAGCTTTTATGGAGGTTTGTGATTCATTTATACAACAAGGAGTTTCAGATGAGGCTTTGAAGCTAAAACTATTCCCCTACTCACTACGAGACAAAGCATGAGGCTGGTGAGTTTTTGTTTCCTGGGGCAATAGTATCCTATAATGAATTAGCCCAGAAATTCTTGATGCATTTCAACCCGCCTAGCATGAATGCTAAGTTGTGAAATGATCTGACTTCATTCAACCAAATAGAGGATGAAAGTTTGTATGAGGCTTGGGAGAAATTCAAAGAATTATGAGGAAATGTCCTATGCACTGGTTTCCACATTGGACTCAAATGGAGATGTTCTACAATGGTTAAAATATACACACTCATAAGGTTGTCAATGCTTCATCAAATGGAGCTTCGCTAAATAAATCATACAATGAAGCATATGAAACACTAGAAAGGATTTCAACTAATGATTACCAATATTCGAAGACGAGAAATATGTTTGGCCGTCATAATGCTGTAACAATCGATTCTGAAGCTTTCAGCTGTGTGGCATCATAGATCTCAACCTTGACAGAAATGGTAAAGAAGCTGCAGCGACCAAGAAGAATGCATGAAATCAAAGCTACATCTCTCATTTCTTGTGTCTATTTTGGTGAAAAGCACAACTTTGATGAATGCCCTCAAAATCCAGAATCTGTCTACTACTTGAGGAATTATCAAAGAAATGACAATGCTTTTGGCAACATGTACAATGCAAATTTCAGAAGTCATTCAAATCTCTCTTGGAAAAGTCAGAATGTTGCCAACCCACAACATTTACAGCAACAACAATATCAACAAAATCAACAATATCAACCTTATAATCAGCAGAACCTGATGTCACAACAACAAACACATCATCATGTAGCTCAGCCACAACAAATACATAATTATCAAGGTTAATCTTTAACTCAAACTTCTTCTTTTTCATCTTTTGAAGCTTTAATGAAAGAATATATGGCTAGTCAATATGCTTCATTAAGATCTTTAGAAAATCAAGTTGGTCAGCTAGCAAATGCCTTGAGTAATAGATAATAAGGAACGCTGCCCAGCGACACTGAAAATCAAAAGTACAATGGGAAAGAACATTGCAAAGCCATCACCACCAGAAACGAAATACGAATTGGAGAGCCAGTGGGAGAACCTAGAAAAAAAAAAGACAATGATGCTCCAAAGCATGGTAAAGGAAAAAACAAATAAGTTGAGCCTGAGCCACCTACTAGTCCCTCTACATTATCAGAAGCAGGTCAGTGTAGTAATTCAGAGCCATTGCCGATAGTGAGACCTACTAAGTCTAATTCTCCACAAATTTTAATGCCGTAACCACAACAACAAAAATTTCCTCAATATTTTCCACTGCGCTTTATAAAGAAAAAGAATGAACAACAGTATAAAGCCTTCATTGATGTACTTCACTAACTTGCCATCAATATTCCGTTGATCGAGGCTTTAGAGCAAAACCTGAACTATATCAAATTTATGAAAGAAGTGCTATCGAATAAGCGATGACTAGGTGAATTTGAAACAGTCGCTCTAACTGAAGGCTACAGGGCCATGGCTACAAGTCAATTACCACCGAAACTTAAAGATACATGGAGTTTCACTATTCCCTGTAATATTGGTGATACATTTGTAGAAAAAGCTTTATTTAATTTAGGTTATAGCATAAATCTAATGCCTTTATCAATTTTTACGAAATTTGAGAGTGGTGAAGCAAGGCCAACTACTGTCACGCTGCAGCTTGCTGATCGCTCCATTGTGCACCCGAGTGGCATTGTGGAAAATATGTGTGTACAAATAGATAAGTTTATTTTTCCCACCGAATTTATCATTTTGTATTGTGAAGTGGATAAGAAATATCCTATCATTCTTGGACGTCCATTCATTGTTATAGGGAGAGCCTTAATTGATGTTGAAAAGGGAGAATTAACTATGCGTTTAAATGATGAGCATATTATCTTTAATGTGTTAAATAATGTTTCTTACTTGAGTAATATTGCCGACTATTTTTCACTTGATGTGAATGATATTTTTGCCCAGGAGCATCTTGAAAAATGCTACAACACTGAAGAACCTATTGATGATATTATAGCAATTGAAGAGACTACAAATAATGAATGTTGCAGTAATTATCTGCAGAAGTATGAATCTTTGGCTATGCCTAAGTGTGTTCCAAGTGCACCAAAGCCCTCTGTCGAAGAGCCTCCAAAGTTGGAATTGAAACCGTTGCCAGACTATTTAGAGTATGCCTATCTTGGAGATAATGAGACTCTATCATTCATTGTTGCTATGCAGCTGACAGTAGCACAGAAGGAACAATTGATTGATGTACTACAACAACATAAGAAAGCCATCACTTGGGGCATTGCTGACATAAAGCTTATTAGTCTTTCACTTTGTATGCATAAGATTTTGTTAGAAGACTCTGCTAGTAGCTTAATTAAACTTCAGGGCCGATTGAATCTAATCATGAAGGAGGTAGTTCGAAAGGAGATCATTAAATGGTTGGATGCTAGAATTATTTACCCAATTTTGGACAACAAGTGGGTCAGCCCTGTGCAGTGTGTTTCAAAGAAAGGCGACATTACTGTAGTAACCAATGAAAAAAATGAGTTAGTATCAACAACAACCAGTACTGGCTGAAGCATATGTATGGATTATAGGAAGCTCAATATAGCTACAAGGAAATATCACTTCCCATTGACATTCATAGATCAAATACTGAACCACATTGCTAGTAATTCTTTATTCTGTTTCTTGGATGGGTATAGTGGATACAATCAGATTGATATTGCACTAGAGGATCATGAGAAAATAACATTTACATACCCTTATGACACCTTTGCTTTTAGAAGGATATCGTTCAACCAGTACAATGCTCTAGCAACATTCTAGCGCTGCATGATGGATATCTTCTCCGATATGAATGAGGATTATTTGGAAGTTTTCATGGATGACTTTTCAGTGTTTGGATAAGATTTTGAAAGCTACTTGAACAACTTGGCTACTATTTTGCAAAGGTGTGAGAAAACCAATTTAGTTTTGAATTGGAAAAAAATGCCATTTCATGGTAAAGGAAGGAATAGTACTAGGACATTAAATCTCTTGCCACGTCATTGAAGTGGATAAGGCCAAAGTGGAGGTTATTGATAAATTGCCCCCACCAACAACTGTGAAAGCTGTACGAAGCTTCCTTGGTCATGCGATCTTTTATAGAAAGTTTATTAAAGATTTCTCACAAATGTCTAAGCCTTTATGTTCATTAATGGAGCAAAACCGAAAGTTTGTCCTTGATGCTGAAGTACTTAATTCATTTGAGACAATCAAGAAGAAATTAGTTAATGCCCCTGTTATAATAGCACTAGACTGGAAACTATCATTTGAATTGATGAGCGATGCTAGTGACTTTGCAGTAGGAGCAGTGCTGGGGCAACACAAGGATAAAATGTTCCATTCTATACATTATGTGAGTCGAATGTTGAACAACGCCCAGAGTAATTACACCACAACTGAAAAAGAGTTACTCGATGTGGTGTTTGCCTTTGACAAATTTCACTCATATCTAGTGGGAACAAAGGTAATTGTTTATACTGACCACTCTGCTCTGAAACATCTATTTGTGAAAAAGATACAAAGCTTTGGTTGATTCGTTGGGTATTACTGCTACAAGAATTTAATATTGAGACTCGGGATAAGAAAGGATCTAAAACTCAAGTGGCTGATCACTTATCTAGATTATAATCCAATAGCGAAGATTGATGCCACGTAGAGACGTCAGACCTTCACTAATGAATGACTGTTAGTTGCTACAACAATACCATGGTATGTTGATTTTGTAAATTATCTGGTTAGTAGAATGGTGCCACCAGTGAAGCATTCTGTAGCATTTCCACAGTGCACCATATGGAGGACATTTTAGTGGTATATGCATAACAATGAAGGTACTTCAATGTGGATATTATTGGCCATCGTTGTTCAACGACACCAATAACTTTGTGAAACATTATGATCGCTGCCAGTGAACAGATAACATATCTCGACGAAATGAAATGCCTATGCAAACTACCTTGGAGATTGAACTGTTTGATATGTGAGGACTAAATTTCATGGGTCTATACCCATATTCCTATGGTAACCTTTTAATTCTAGTTGCTGTAGACTATGCTTCTAAATGGGTGAAAGTTGTAACATGGTCGAACAGTAGTGCCAAAGCTGTTTTGAAATTTTTGCATAAGAATATATTCATTCTTTTTGGGATATCCCATTCTTTTATCAGTTATGAAAGATCTTAGTTTATTGGTCATCAAGTTTCTAGAGATTGAACATATATATTGTGAAGCATAAGATCGCTATAACATATCATCCGCTATCCAATGGCCAAGCAGATGTATCTAATCGAGAGATCAAACAAATTCTTGAGAAGATTGTGAATATTTCTAGAAAAGATTGGTCACAATTCCTTAAAGAAGCTTTATGGACCTATATAATTGCATACAAAACTCCACTAGGGATGTCCCATTATCTTCTTGTCTATGGCAAAACTTGTCATCTACCAGTAGAGCTAGAGCATAAGGTAATGTAGGCGTAAAGCAACTGAACTTTGATATCGATGCTGCAAGACAACAACAAATACTATAAATTAATGAATTAGAAGAGTTTCACAACAATGCTTATGATAGTTCACGTGTAACACTCCTAACCTATACCCGACCTGGATACGAATCTGAGGTGTCACATTGACTTTTCAAAACTCGACTCTTTAAAAATTCGTTGAAAATTTAAAGTTTACTTTGAAAGTATTGGCGGAACCATCATACAAAATTTATAATCAAAATCTTATAATTCATAATGAAAATTAATACTTAATATATTTATATAAACATAAAATAGTAGGGTTACAAAATCGATCATAGCATTTCTATTTAAACCATCATGATACATGCCAACAAAATTTCAAAATAACTAACAATACATATAACTTAAATAGTTCTGATATGATCGTCTTCTAGTGTATGATGTCCTTCCCTAGCTTCACTCCTTGGATCTCTTCAAACATACGTGTGAAACCACTCAAACGCCAAGTCATTGACTTAGTGAGGCATAATGAGTAAAGAAAACAATAAACATTTGCTTAGCTTTTTCAAGAAACATTATCGATAGAAACCAATATATATTTCGCACATATAATCTTATACACTATTCAATTCATATTAATTTATTTAAATAGCCCAACGCATATTATTGAGAACTCAAGGTATTTGAGTACATTGAGGTTATGCACTAATGCAGACACCACTACTCATATAATTTGCACCAAAGTGTCACATAGAATATGAACCAAAGTGCCACATAGATTTTTCCCGAAGGACCACGTAAAAATTTGTCCCGAAAGACCACGTAGAATTTGTCCCGAAGGACCACGTAGAACCCTCGACTCTTGGGATGCCAACTATACCTCTAATTCTCATACATATACTTTGAGCTTGAACCATGTAATTATTTAAAATTTCATTATTCCAAGTGTGTTTTATTCACGTAGTGCAATTTCACATAGATTATTTTCAAGTATCACATTTTCACATACAATTAAAATCAAAACAATACTTTGAAAATACATTTTATATAAAACATAATAAAATATTGCATAAAACAAATAAACAATTTTTGATCGAAAACATTCGAGGTTGGCTTATCGCAAGTTGTCATCATTTTTAATATAAAAATATAAATTGCACTCACCTTTGCCTCACGTAAGTCTTAACGAAATGCTTTTAACTTTCGTTCAAACTCTTTGCTATATTGCTTCGATCATTATGCTTTCGATCCAAATCTACACATCAATATTTCCAAGATCAATTCCAACTTTCTATAACTGAATAACCAATTATCACTTACATAAACGAAATGAAACACCTAATTTAGCATTTCAAGCTGAATAGTATTGGTACCCCTCCTACATTACTGATACTTCTCTTCTATGGTACCGATACCCACTTCGGTATCGATACCATTTTGGCATTCTGGAATTTCATTTCAATTACAGTATCGATACCTCAACATCAGTATCGATACTTCTTCAATCAGTATCGATATTGTTCATTAAATTCGTACGTTTTCCTTCAATTTACCCTTATAGTATCGGTATTGTTCTTCCAGTACCGATACCCTTACCCATATTTTACCTCTTTTACTTTGAATTTTACCCACACTTTAGCTAAATCTCACTCTTTAAGCTCCAATCAAACCTTTAAACTTACTAACATTGATCACCACTAACTTATATCCATTAATTACCTTTTAATAACCAAAATTCTCTATGGAACACTAAACACTAAGAATTATATCAAATCTTCAAACATGTTCTCAATTATTTCTAAGACTTCAAATACCTTAATTTGACCTTTGACAAGTCAAATATACCTTTAAAATCTAATTACTAACCAAATTTCATCCATTCACTTAAAAACTCATTTTACAAATTCACTAATAATTCACTAATCTCTTAGTTTCTATTCATCTTAAAGTTTCCTTAAGCTTCTAAACCAATCAAGGCTTCAAAACCAATCCAAAAATGAAAAGAATAACCAACTTAAAGAAACTCACCTTGAAAATGCAGTTTACGGGGAAGAAGAAGAAAATAACCCAAAATGTTCCAGATATTTCTTTTTTTCCTTATCTCTCCTTTTTACCACATGCTTTAATATTTTTAGAAATAAATATTAAATTAATTTCTTGCAAAAAGACCAATATGCCCTTCTATTCTTCTATATTTAATTAAAAAGTCCTAGATACAAATACCAAAATCAGTCCTTAAACTTTTCAATTTATTCAAATTAGGCCACCAAATTAAAATCCTTACATTTTAATCACTGACCCAATGTTTGGGGTATTACATTTCTCTCCCTTAAGAAAATTCATCCTCGAATTTTCAGTGTACAAAGAGACGAGGAAACTGTCTTCTCATATCCTCTTCACGTTCCCATGTCGCCTCTTCTACTTTGTGATTTTGCCAGAGAACTTTAACTAACATAATCGTTATGTTCTTCAAATGTTTAACTTCATAGGCTAAAATCTGCACTGGTTCTTCCTCATATGTCATGTCAGATTGAACTTCTATTTCTTTCAGTACTATGATGTGTGAAGGATCTGATCGATATCTTCTAAGCATCGACACATGAAAAATATTATGGATCTTTTCCATTTATGGTGGCAATGCTAAGTGATATGCCATTAGTCAAACACTTTTTAAAATATACACTGGTTCTTCCTCATATGTCATGTCAGATTGAACTTCTATTTCTTTCAGTACTATGATGTGTGAAGGATCTGATCGATATCTTCTAAGCATCGACACATGAAAAATATTGTGGATCTTTTCCATTTATGGTGGCAATGCTAAGTAATATACTATTAGTCAAACACTTTTTAAGATCTCATAAGGTCCAATGAATCTAGGACTGAGCTTTCTTTTACATCCAAACAAATAATTTTCTTCCAAGGCTATACTTTGAGAAACACTTTGTCACCTACTTGTAATTTAATCTCCTTTCTCTTCAAATCCGCATAAGACTTCTGTCGATCAACAACTATTTTAAGATTATATTGAATAATCTTCACTTATCTTCGACTTGTTTGATCATATCTGGCCCCATTAAGTCTCGATATTTCAATTCAAACTAATTTAATGGTGTTCGATATTTTATTCCTTATAGAGCTTTATAGGGCTCCAACTTGATACTCGATTGATAACTATTGTTATAAGCAACCTCTACAAGCGGTACATATTTCTCCCACAATCTATGAAAATCAATAACACATGCTCTTAACATATATTCCAGAACCTGAATCATCCGCTCTGACTAACCATCGGTCTGTGGGTGAAAAGTAGCCAAAGCTCCATGTAAAGACTTCCAAAATCTCGAAGTGAACCTTGGATCTCTATTAGATACTATTGAAACTGGCATTCTATGCAGTCGAACTATCTCCTTGATGTATACTTCCACATACTTATCCATTGAAAAATAAGTTCGAATAGGAATGAAATATGCAGTCTTTGTTAAACGATCCGTAATTACCCAAATTGTGTCTTTTTTGTTCGGTGTCAAAGGTAACCCAATTATAAAATCGATTGTAACTCTTTCCCATTTCCATTGAGGAATATATATCAGTTGCAAAAGTCCTGAAGGCACTTGATGTATAGCTTTCACTTGTTGGCATGTTAGACACTTTGCAACAAACTCTGTAATAGCTTTTTTCATGCCTGGCCACCAATATCTCCCTTTTAAGTCTTGATACATCTTGTTTCCTCTCGGATGTACAGTCAAAAGACTACAATATGCTTCAGAAAGTATATCTCTTTCCAATTCTTCATCATTTGGAACACAAACTCTGTCTCTGTAATATAAGCATCCATTTGACTTTATTTTAAAGTCCTTGATTTCACCTTTTTTTACTTGTTGTATTCTTGCTAAGCATTTATCATCCCTTCTCTATGACTCCTTTATTCGCACCAACAATAGAGGTTTTAGCTTTAATTTAGCCATCAGAGCACCATTGTACTTTAACACAAGTCGGGCGCATAACATATTTAAAGCTGCACAAGTCTTTCGACTAAGCGCATTAGCTACAACGTTAACTTTCCTGGGA